AAAGAAGAAAGAAAGAAAGCAAGCATAATATTACATAGTGACTCACTATGTGGTTCAGGCTGGCCTTGAACTCACTATGTAGCCCAGGTTGGCCTCAAACTGGTGGCAATTCTCCTGTCTCAGCCTCCCTGTAAATTCTGGGACTACAGGTGTGGGCCTCCATGCCCCACTTTCTGGGGGGCCTCACTTCCATAGCCCTTCTTCCTCTGGGTCCCTCCAGCTCCTGACCCAGGCCACTGCTACTGCCCTTATCAGGCTGTATTTTCTGTACCCTTCCCTAGCACTCTATGGCGGGCAAAGATACAGTTGTTTGTCTATAACTGCCCAGACCAATAGCTTAATGAATATTTGATCAAGGAATAACTGAGTGAATGTCAAGATGGTCATCTATCAAAAGAAGCATTCCCACCAGGTGTGGAAAAACACGCCTGTCATCCCAGCACTTGGGAGGCTGAGGCAGGAGAATTGCCACCAGTTTGAGGCCAACCCGGGCTCCATAGTGAGTTCAAGCCAGCCTAAACTCCACTGTGAGATCCTGTCTCAAAACAACAACAACAACAACAGCAACAAAAAGGCAGGGGAGGAGTATGCCTTCAACCCCAGCCCCAAAGGAAGCTGGTGATATTTGTTGAACTTACAAGGGGGAGAAGAAAGATTACTTTAGCTTTACCTCTGTTCTGCTGGAAACAGGTAAATGAGAGAGGAGTCTTGCGGACTGGAAAGGCAGCTCAGGCAGGTGCATGTTTTACAACTCCAGGTGGGAGTGAAGGTCCTCAAGTGGTTTCTTTCAACCTCAGTGCAAGTGGCGGGAGTGGGGGGCAAGGGCTGGGGTCTTCACACGGGGTGACAGAGAGCCTGGTCTGGGAACACAAAACACGAATCCTTAGCTGGCTGGCTTGTGTGCAGGCAGGGCCCAGGCTGGCTGAGTCATAGACCAGAGTGTCAAGAAACAGGGACTCTCATCCCCTTTATGGGGTCCCTTTAGAGTCAGCCTCTTTGTCACTAATCTCGTATCATTTCCTCCTTGTCACTGTCCCCTAAGCTCTTTGATTTAAGGGATCCCATTCAAGTGAGAGAAGGAGATGCTGAGACGTGAGATAGTGCTTTCTTTTCCTCCCAGCTGCTTTGCTCTTGCCTGGAGTCTTCTTTAGACTTGATTGCCTAAGGTTTTGCAACTCAAAAGCCAGGGAAATATAGTTTTAAATACATGGAAATATAATAAATAGAGGGAAACAGATCTTAAATATGTGTATAAATACATACAGCAAAAATTCTCACCCCTCCCCTTTTTTTTACAAAAGCATTTTCACAAATAATCTTCTTTACAATCAACACGCAGAACTTTTCCACCACGACAAAGAGTTCCCTTTGATCCATCATTAGTCAAATTTCCCTCACATCCCCAGCCCCTGATATCCCTGTTTTTTTGTTCCTATGGTTTTACTTTTTCCAGAATGACAAACGGGCAGCCTTTTAACTGTTTGCTTTCACTCAGCACAATGCTTGAGTGATTCGCCATGTTGTTGTGTGGAGTAGTAGGCTGATTCTTTTTTGCTTGTTTGTTTTGAGACAAGGTCCCACTATGTAGCACAGGCTGGCCTTGAACTCACAGTCCATCAGCCTCCCTCCTGCTGGGATACAGGCATGTGCACTATACCCAGCTTTAAGTTGTTCCTTTTTTATTACCAAATAGTATTCCACGATATGAATGGACCACGGAATGCTTGCCAGTTGATGAATGTATGGTTTCCAGTCTCACACTTCTATGAAAAAGCTGCTATAACACTTATGGATAGGTTTTATGTAAGTTGTGTATATATTTTCAATTCTCTTTGATACATTTCTAAGAATGGGATTGCTGGGATCATGTGGGAGGAGGAATTTTAAATTTATAAGAAACTGGTGAACCATTTTTCCACAGATGCGCCATTCTGCGTTCCCGCCAGCAGTACAGGAGACTTCTAGTTGCTCTCCACCCTTGTTAGCACTTAGGATTACTCATTCGGCCACCAGTCAGCCGTCTTGATAGGTGTGTACTGCCATATTCCTCCCTTAGATAAGTATACAGAAAATCCTTTCTGACCAATGAGGTACAGATCCAAGAGGAAAATTAAGAGTGACTTTCTGTAATAGTTTAAGAAATATCTTTTGCTTTATGCAAAAACAAAAAGATGAGAATGAACAAAGAAACGTGAGGGCAGAGGCTGGGTAGAGGAACCTGGCGTGGGATCTCAAACCTTTCCAGTAGGATTCTTTCTTGTCACGCATCTTGACAGGAAACACATTGTTTGGCCAAATTTTTCTGCTTAACCCATTTGGAAAAAAAAACTTTCTACTAAAAAAACCCACTAAAAAACAAAAAAAAAAAACCAAAACCTTTTTCTACTGCTCTGTGTGGATTATAAAATCAACACTTTTTGGTAAGCCCTGTTCTCCAGACTAATCTCCTTTAAACCAGAAATGCTGGCTCTCACAGTGAGATGGGTAGGATGCTAGCATTGCTAAGACAGCCACATGCAAAACCATTATTAAGGGTCACACACTGAGAGGAAGACTCAACCCTTGACCTACAATTCTGTTATTTCCTAGATGTTCGAGAAAGTCATTTGAAATACAGACTCTCCGAGTCCTTTTAAGGAATCATCTCATTTGTTTCTCCTGTCACTGCCCGTTCACTTCACATATGCACTGGCAGCAGAGCATAATCCTGCAATTTATAATCTGGGGCATACAGTTCAGGGCTCTGCTGAGACAGGGTAGGTTCTCCACGAGAGGCTGCTTCACTTTGGATCTAGGAAGCTCAAGTCTGAAAGGAAGATGGCAGCCCTCTCCCTACACATGAGGATGGAAAGGAAGGTTTTTCTTGCAGCTGTGTGCACACACTCACACTTAAGGCTCTGTTTGTCTCCCTCCCCCGACCCCTTTGGTTTTTTGAGACAGTCTCGTTATGTTGTGCAGCCTGTCCTTGAAATTACTGTGTAGCCCAGGCCTTGAACTTTCAGGATTCTCCCGCCTCAGCCTCCTGAGTGCTGGGATTACAGACATGCACCACCACACTTGGCCAGTCACTTCTTTTTTACCACGTACAAGGGACAGCAAGGGGTGGCAGGGTCCCCAGGGTGGGAGTTTTGAAGAACTCAGGTAATTTGTTGACTGGTTGGCAATGTTTTATTTTGGTTTCTAAGCAATAAATCAAGACTTGCAAGCAAAAGGCTACTCCTCATTTTGGACACCATCTGGCCCCATTTTCCCCCAAATCCTGTATCTAGGGTAAGCCAGGACGACAGTAAATGTAAAACCTGCTGAAAGTAGGTGCCCACATTTGAGAACCACACTCCAGACATTTGGTTCAAAAAGTAATGATGACACAATGGGGTCAAACGAAGCTGTCAGAAAAATACCTGCTGATAATAGCTCACAGGTACCCAGCTCCTTGCCAGTCACCAAATGTTTCCCGCGTACTTTTCCCCTTAGCCTTCACACCAACCCTCGGAGGTAGGTCCCGCACAATAAAGAAAACTGAAGCTTAGGGAAGAGGTGACCTCTCCCTCCCCTCTTCTCCCCCTTTCCTTCCTCTCCCTCTCCTCTTCCTTTTTTTGTTTTGTTTTGTTTTTTTGGTACCAGGGATCGAACTTGGGTCCTTGTGCTTGCAAGGCAGGCAGTGGAACCACTGAGCTAAATCCCGACCCCCCCACCCCGCTCCTTTTTTTTTTGAACAGGGTTTCAACTGTGCAGTTCAGGCAGCCTTGAGCTCACCTCACTATGTAGCCCAGGCTGGTCTTGTACTCACGGTGATCCCCCTGCCTCAGCCTCCCCAGTTCTGGGTTTATAGGCAGGTGCCACCACATCCAGCCTAGTGTAATTTCTTAAAAGCCCCCAGCTAGCAGATGGCAGGGCCAAGTATAAACCCAGGTAATGCAGCTCTAGGGTCTTCATTCTTTTTTTTTTTTTTTCCTTTTTCTTCTCCTTTCTTCTCTCAGGCTAGCCTCAAACTTGAAGTGATCCTCCTGCCTCAGCCTCTCAAGGGCTGAGATTACAGGCATGTGCCACCATGCCAAGCCAGTAGCATCTTCCTTCTTAGCCACGATATATTCTTTCTCAAACCAGAGCCTCACTGCTCCAAAAATCCTTAGGTAAATAAGTCTGACAAATGTGAGGGCAAAATGTTTTCCAGACTTTGCAATCTACTTCAAAAATCAATGTATATCAACAAGCCATTCAGGCAATTGTGGTGGCACACACCTGTAATCCCAGCACTCAGGAGGCTGAGGTAGGAGGATCGCCTCGAGTTCAAGGCCAGCCAGGACTCTTTAGTGAGTTCAAGGCCAGCCGGGACTACATATCGAGATCCTGTCTCAAAAAACAAAACAACACCCCCACCAACAAGCCGTTCATTTATTCATTTGACAGATATTTATACAAACGTATAGGCAGTGGGTCTACAACAGTAACAAGATCACGACGGCTGCTTCCCTCACAGTTCCTGTGTCCCTAAACAGAAACAGTTTGTAAGGAATTACAATTAAAACCGGTGTGCACTGTCAGAGGTATGACCGGCACCGCCCGGAAGAGGAGGGGCGTAGGCAGGTGCTGAGTGAGGAAGGGCTTCACGGAGGAGGTGGTCTGGAGGTGTTCACACAGGAGGGGTGTTCAGAGGATGAGGAGGCGTCGTGGGTGGAGGGGACTGGCCAGGCCCAGGTCTCAGACCTGGGTGTGCCTGGAACCCAGAGCTCATAGAAAACAGCAGCAGAGGAGGCTGAGGCTGTGCAGAGCTTGGGACCGGGGGTCCCAAGGGTCCCAGGTGTTTGGGGTTGAATACATAGGCAGCAAGAAACCATCAGAGGACTTTTGCCCGCCAGTGCTGGAGCTTGAACCAGGGTTTCTCCCTCTGAGCTACATCTGAAGCCTTTTTTTATATTTTCGAGACAGGGTCTCATTAAATTGCCCAGGCTGACCTTGAACTTGGGATCCTGCTGCCTCTGCCTCCTGAGTACGGGTGTCACACGCGTGCACCACCACGCCAGCCCAATAAAGAGCTTGGAGCGGAAGCGTGCCATGATCTGATGGGCGTCGAATTCCAGCTCGATCAGTCATGAGAGTGAGGGTTAGAAGGAAGCAGGCGAAATCGAGACAGGGAGGTAATAATGTAGGAGGATGGAGCAATACTGTGGACGAGGACAGTCAGGTACAATGCCTAACCGGGGGCGGTGCCAGTGGAGGTGGAGAAGCGGAGAGAAAGAGAGCGTGGGACTTGAGGATTACTTCAGCATGCGTTAGCACTGGGGTTGCTATGGTCCGAATGTGTCCCCCGAGATTCGTATGTGGAGACATAATTGCCAGTGTGACAGTGTTAAGAGGTGTGGACTTGGGGAGCAATTAAATTATGAAACGGTCCTAATGAATGGGATTAGTAACCTTATAAATGAGGTTGAAGGGCCGGGTGTGCAGGTCAGTGGCAGAGCGCTTGCTTAGCCTGTGGGAGGCCCTGGGTTTCATCCTCGGCACTGCAAAAATCAAAGCAAAGACAGAGGATGAAGGGAGCACCCCAGCCCCCTGGCCCTTTGGCCTCTGCCATGTGAGGATGCAGCAGCAGGGGCCATCTTGGATGCAGACAGGGAGACTTCACCAGACACCAGATCCGCTGGTGCCTTGAATGTGGACTTCCCAGCCCCCAGAACTGTGAGACATAAGTTTCCCTTATTTCTAGATGACCCGCTCTGTGATATTTTGTTATAGCAGCCAAGACGGACTGAGGTAACAGTTCACTTATAGGCCATGGCTCAGACTGCACTGCACTTCCTAGGGGTGTGGTGTGGGGCCAGGTTACTTAACCTGTCAGCTTCAGTCTTGACATCAGTGCAAGGGGGAAATTCTCGGTATCTAAAGCACAGTGTGTGGTGAAGATCAGTGATATCCACGTACTTCGAACAGTCTCTGGCACCATAAATGCTCAACACATTTTCTTTTTTCTTTCTAATTTATTTATTTATATTTTGGACATTGTGAGACAGGGTCTCGCTATGTAGTCGAGGCTGTCCTTGAAAGCACTATGTAGCCCAGGCTGGCCTCAAAATGAAGGCGATCCTCCTGCCTCAGCCTCTTACTGCTGGGATTACAGTCATGCGCTATCATGCTTACCTGTGTTTCCTCCTTTTAGTGAGAGAAAGGGAGAGACAGGCGAATTCCAGGTTCCTGACCCAGGTCATTCTGTGGTCGGACATGTACTTGGTAGAGGACACTGCCTGCAAGGAGGCTGCAGCCCAGGTAGGAACCTGTTAAGAACATCGTCGGGCTCTCTAGAGGAGGAGAGAGACACGGAATCAATACTTACAACAATCGCATCTTGTTAAACAGGACCACCGTCTTCCCAAGTTTATTAGGTTCAAATCCTTGATTGCTGTCTACTCCCCACCTTCAAACCTTCACACAAGTCTTATTAACCCCAGATTGATTCCAAATCTTCTCTAGCTCCTCTGCCACCCCAGCCTGGTTCAAGCCACCTTTCCTCTCCTGGACTCTGGCAATGAGTTCTTTGCAGGGGTCTCCTCACTTTCACTCATGCCCCTTCCTGTATGTTTCCAAGAATAGTAATGATCTTTTCGTAAATCAGAACTGGCTGCCCCCTCAGAGATTAGGCTGAAATTCCGACTATTCAAAGTTCTACCTACTCTGACAGCTGCAGCCTTGAAACTCGCAACCACACGGACACTCTTATTTTGTCTTGTTTGAGACAGGGTCTCCCTGTCTAGCCCAGCCTGGCTTTGAACTTCCTAGGAATCCCAGGGTGGCCTTGAACTCATGATCCTCCTGCCTCAGTCTCCAGAGGGCTGGGACTACAGATGTGCACTGCCGCATCTGGCGTGGCCACCATCCTTAACAGAGTAATTAATCACCTTCCTGAAATGCATTCTCAGTATTCTGCTCCAATTATTGTGTAGCTTGAGATAAAACAAAGGCTCCCTGTGTCGTGGACCTGCTGCATTCCATCCACCTGGTGTTTCTCTGGGCTAAGTCTTGCACCAATTCTTCCAAGTAGGTGTTATCCTCCTCCTCATCTTGCACACGAGGAGTCTCATGCTCAGAGGAGACTCAGACTCACCCAAGGCACAGGGTTGGGCCAGCTGGGGCGGGGGGACAGCAAGAGAAGATTAAAACTCAGCTCTGTTTAAATGGCCCTGATGTCTGTGCTGTTTCACAACAGTGCTGGGATGGAAGACGTCACTCAGAGGGTAGATGGCCTGATACCACTTGGCTAATGCTAATTTAGGAAAACAACCCCGAGATAAAGATTTATAGAGAGCAGGCTCTGTAATTAGCCTGCTGGCCCTGCAGGAATGTGAGTTTGATCTGCTGTAGTTCACAGCTACTTGGCCTCCAGAGATTCAAGGGCAGGACTGTGGGGTCTTCTGAGGAAAGCAGTTTTCAAAGGTGGGAGTCAAGGAAGGGCTTCTCCGGGCTGCGCCAGGTTGGCCAGCATCCTCACAGTGAAGAGAGCACCTTGGGGCAGGAAGTGTGAAGGGCAGCAAGTGTGCAGGAAGGGCCTGGGACGGGGGACAGACAGGAAAGAGAAGCAATGCGAGACCTACTCGGACGGACGGAGTTTAGCCCCTGCCTTCTAGAATGCTTTTCACTGCACTCCTGGCTGATAGCCTTTCCTGGCCCTTTCTGTTAAGAGAACTCCTAGTTGAATGGTGAAATGAGACCCTCATGATCAGACGCCACCGAAATCCCACAAGTAAGTCCTCCCACGCCACTGCCGCAGAGGCTTTTCCTGAGCTCGGCTTCTAAATCAGACACAGTCCCATCCTTACTCCCTGTGACTGTGCTTGACCGGCTGACTCTCTCGGTAGCATTTCTCACGATTTGCAGCGATATATTTATTCATTTTCATGTTGCCTCCTGGGGCGTAGGCCTTCTCTGTTTAATTCACCAGTGTGTGTTAAGGACCTGGAACACAATGCTGGCAGGAGGTAAATGTGCAAAAGCTATTTGTTGGGGGTGGCTGCAGGAGGGAGAGGGACTGGGGTGGCTGGTCCCTCGGCGGGTGGTCTTCGTGGTGTGGAGCTCAGTTCCAGTGTCCCACATGTGCACGTAGGGAGAATCAGGCTAGACTCACCACAGGGACGGGTCTCGAGAGGAAATAGGGGTCGCTCCCCCAAGGGGCTTTGGGTCCTGCTCTTTTACCTAACTTGGGTGAAGGGAACTCAGGGCTGCTTTTATGGAAAGAGCTGTCAGTTTGGGCCCAGCCCTTGCTGCCTCACACTTGCCCTGTCAGTGTCCAGCTGGGGGCAGAACTCTGGGACTGGTCATGCTGGGACTTGCCCCAGTCTGCTGCCAGGAGTTCTGGCTGGCTCCCATCAGATAAAAGCGAGTTTTTGGCAAGCAAGAAGGAAGCCAGCTGAGCCATAGGAAGAACAAAGTCAGCCTCCCACCCCCTCCTCCCCCGTACCGAAGTAGCCTGCTGAGCAAAGCCCACTGGTGCTGGTTAAAGAGAGCATTAATTGGATGGGTGCAGTGGCACACCCATCTAGTCCTAGCTACTTGGGAGGCTGAGGCAGGAAGATCACAAGTTCTAGGCCACTCTGGGCAATTTAACAAGACCCTGTCTAAAGACAAAACAAAAAATAAAAAGGACTGGGGCTGTAGCGCAGTAGTAGAGTACTTACCTGTTTGCTGTCTAATAATCAGCTGATGGAGGGCAGATTTTCTCAGCAGGTTGGAAAACAGGGCATGCGTGATTCTTTGTTTTTCCTTTGGCCTTCCAGATAGCAGCACTGCCTTGAGGTCGGGGTGACCTGATTCTTTTAAGGAGCCCTTGAGATGCCAATAAGAGGGCAGTCGAGGGCCACATGGAGGCCTTCCTCACCCTCGATCACCTGCTCTTATCAGTGCCGCCCTTTGCCTGTGGACAGCGAGATTTGGCGAGACTTCTGGTGACGGCCAGGAGGGAAGGTAACTGGGCAGGAGCGCCTCACCTTGGCCTGTTCAGGACATGCCACAGTCCTCTCCTCGGGACTTCTAGATGGTCTGAGCCTAGCGAAGGGAAACAGAGCTCTGCTTACTCCTAGGAACCTCCACATCCGAGATGTGTATGCGATGGCACCTTTAGAGAGGCTGAACATTCTCCCCACACACTGGTGTGAGCTCTTTGGACGGCCTAGATTTGCTGTCAGGTTTCTGCATCGTTTTTTTTCTGAAAAGAAAGTCAAGACTCTTTCTCCTTGACATGCTATACTCCAAGCTGTCTCACGTCATTTACATTAAAAGCGTGCCAGGATATCTTATAATCCCTTTTCCACACAGGAGAAGATGGAGATTCAGAAAAGCAGAATATGTTTCCTGAGTCCACTCGGGAAAGAAGCTGAGTCAGAATTTGAAACCAAATTTGAAACCAGGGTTTCTGGCTTCTAAACTGGCGTGTTCTTCCCATTCAGAGCCCACAGGGAGTTGGAAGAGGTGGAACAAATTACAGGATGACCTGAGGATTCTGCTTATCAGTATGAATTTAGTGCTAAGCAGAGTTTGGCTTGTCTGCTTTTAGTGGGGAGAAATGGGTAGAAGGTTAAGCTGGAAAACAATTTTTTTTCCCCTGGTACCCAATCTGATTACAGCACCCATCCCTCCCAGACAATCAGAGCGTCTGTAAGAAGATCACCTTGTCACTGTCATGGCTGAGAAAGGTGACCTTGAGAGAGACTAACCCCACTTAGCCCGGAGCTGGCCATGCCATACCGGGTGGCAGAGGAATCTGTATAATTGGACAAGACAGCTGCCATGCTTTTTCAGTCCTGCCCAGGAATAGCTGGGGAAGAAAATGCCTCCCATAAAGATAGTCAGCTTGCATGTGTGTCTCCTGCCCTAAACCAAGGGAGTCCAGAAGGACAGAAACCCAGGGCAGTGGCTTGTCTTTGCAGCCTGCCGCTCAGCCTCCCTGCCTCCACCCGGTGGGACAGGGCTTGCGCTCTGGGGCCCTTGGCAACCACTTCAGGGAGGGCGCTGCTCCCTCCTCGGGATGTATTCCTAAACTGTAATCACACTGCGAGCGGAGTCAGCCAAAGCAGTGGCTATGAACAGGGAGGTGAAGAAAGCTGACTCGGAAGGAAGCCGGCTTAGGCTGGTGGGGAGAGCCTGGCCACCTTGGCCTGTGATCCTCCCTGAGAGGTCAGTGCGAGACAGACCTGAGCTCAGGTCCGTCCTGGGCAGCAGTCAGCACTATCTGGATTTCTCACCTTTGGAAACAGAAGCCCGAAGCAGTCCTGATCAAAGGGCCCTTGAGCTCTCTTCCTGGTCCTTGGGGAGACTGAGCCCTGAGGACAGACAGCTTCAGTAGCTGTGACTCAGCAGAGAAGCAACTCTTCCCTCCCTATCACTGGTCATCAGCGGTCGATGCAACTTGGAGAGGAGCATTGTGGCTGCATTTCTGTGGGCTTCCTTGGCTGAGAGGCCAGGGCTGACCCAGGCCTTAGCGGGCCAGGGCTCCGCATTGGCAGAGACATCCGAGTGGGGCGATCCTGTATCTGGCTGTGGCTGTGGCTGCTGCAGGAAGGTGGAAGTGTGGGCACAGCAAATGAGGGTCACTTTGCAGAAGGGCCTCAAACTGTGGGGAGAGATGTAATTCTCTGTAAATGCAATGCACTGGGGGGCGGCGCTAAGGCTTTCGTCTTTTTGGTAGACTCTCCATTACGTGGTAGCAGGAAGTAGGACAGATCCCCAAACCAGGCCCAGGGTGCCACAGGAGTCACGGAGCTGCTCTTGGAGCCTGGATTCACAGTCTCTCTCTCTGTACCCCAAACACATACCCTCCACGTGCCACCTCCTGTCATCCTCACCAGCCCCAACGGGGTGTGTGTGTGTGTGTGTGTGTGTGTGTGTGTGTGTGAACATGGCTGTTTTCAGTTGGGAAACAGATTTCCAAAAGGTGGAGTGACTTGGCTACACAGCTAGCAGGTGACAGAGACAGGACTAAATCCTGTCTGGCTGTCTGGTGCCAGTACAGCCCTATCCTTCGCACTTTTGGCCTGACCCAGGAGTCACCCGCATTGTCACCATGAGGCCAGCAATAACGTTCTCTGTGTGCTGGGCAGGCAATCGTGGGGAGTCTGTGGGGAGTGATACGCTGTCTTCTCGCCTTTCTTAGCTCTCAGGTATGCCTAAGTGTGTTTCCTCACTCAGACGATCCATTTTGGTTCCTAGATCTCTGCAGAAGGAGGTCTGGATGGAGACAGGATGAGGGAGTATTTTCTCCTTCTTGCTAAAAGTATTTTCTAAGCATCTGATGGGCTCAGCTCTGGGTGCCGTGGGCGCTTTCACATTGAAGAGCAATTTAATGATGTCATCTATCGGGTACTTTTCTCTGCTACTTTCTGCATATCCTCAACATAATTGCAAGTGATAAAAGCTGAACACACACTGCCAGTCACCTCAGAGCTACAGAGGTGTCATGACTGCACACTTCGATGCTTCTGTCCAATGTCTTTTTTACCTGGAGTTGGTCTCTAGCACCTCAAAACCAAAATAAAACAAACAGCTTTCCGCAGAGTGAAGAGTGTATCGGGGAGTGGCTTTCTTCCACCAGTCGTGGTCCGGGTCACTTCCTAAATCTGACAGACAGAGAACCCATAGCCCCAGATACCAGGTCCTGAGTTCTGGCAGAACTGAGCAAGAGTTTTTTTCAGCTCCCACCCTTGAGGGGCTGTAAGATACAGAGGTGGAACTGGACGGGGCTCATGCGAATTCATTCATCATTTTATAGCCATTCCGTGGCTCTAAACGATCCTGAGAAGAATGGAAAGTAATTTCTAGGCCCACGGTCTCTAAGCTATTTTGGGGTTTTAATGTTCTTTTTGGTCATTTTTTTCTTCTTTGTTTTGAAAGGCGAGGAACTTTTAACATAGTGATAAGCAGCCGGACAGTGGCAAGTTCTCGGTTCAGAGAGCTCCTTTTCTCACTGTACTCAAGAGTTAATTAATCCTCACTGTACCTTGACCTGCCTAGGTCACTTGCTTGTTATGCTGGAGCTAGCTGTCTGAGAGGCCCTTTCCAGGCTGGCTCTCACCATGCTGTCCGGGGCTGTGTTTCACCTTTGCGTGGGATCGTCTCTCCTCTCTTCCTGAGAGGTGACCATTTTCAGATCTGTGGGTGGAGAGGAAAATCTTCTCTTCCAAAAATAATCCTTCTGCAGTGGGGTTGAAGCTGGACCAAGCTGCTAGTGCTATTTTTACCCAGCTTGCAGTTCAGGGTGTAAATAGCAACTCTGGCTGATTCTCTCCCCCCCGCCCAACCCCAGCCAACAACAGTCAACCTCTTTGAGGCAGAGGCATGTGGCATTTTGCACAGAGGAGACAGGAGAGAGTTTGCCCTCTGGCCCAGGTAATGATTCCTGGATCACTGGTTCAGGACACAAAGCAGAGAGGCATCTCCGAGGTTCTGTTACCTCTAACTCTGCTGTAAACACCCAGCCCCAAGAAAGCAGCTCAGGCTGAGGCTGACGTAAAGAAGCACTTGCTGCCTGACGAGGGAGAGGCAGGTCCATAAACCCGAGCCTGAGTTCCCTGAGGCTCCGCAGCTCTCAGCTCCCCCGGCTCTCGGCTTCGCCCCTCCGCCCTCTTGCCTTGCCATGAATTCCCTCCAAGGTTGCTGCTGCATCCCGCCAGAGCAGGAGCTGAGGAAAGACGGAGCAGGCGTGTCCTCAGAATGGAGAAAGTCTCTAAAAATAGAACCGGCTCCTTCTCCAGCGAATGGAGGCCCACAGCCTTGTACCGCGGAGGCTGCGGAGGTCATGGGGAGGCGATGGCTCCCTCGTGCCCAAGTGAGCAGAAGCTGTGGGAAGCCGACCAAAGCCTTGGCTTGTGTCCGTCACCCCAGAGCATGAGTGAGAAGTGCCCTTCACGAGCAAGACAGCCCAGCAAAGTCTGAGACACACCCTTCACAGTTAGCCGTTCCCTACTGCTTCTCTCGGAGCGATCAGGCTCCAGTTGCTTTTTCTGGAGGCCAAATTTCGTACCCAAATCTGTCCTTTGGGCTTCTGGCCCGAAATAAGGAAGGCGTTATGAGTCATCAGAAGTAACAGCAACTTCTTGTGGTGCTGTCCATATCTTTCCTCGGCCGGTCGATCCAAGCACTCCTCAGATATCTACCGCGGAGCCAGAAAGGACATTCGGGCACGCGTTTCAGGTTTTTCCAGCAGATGATTTTGTAGGAGGTAAGAAAAAAGGTTGAAGGACAGGTAGGCAGCTGAGTGGCCCCCCTGGTCAGCTTTTTTGGAATTGATTCTGGGCAGCTGTTAATTGCAAAACTCGCTGCCAATTATTGATGGCTAAAGTGGCATCAAAGAGCTTCTGAGGGTAAAAATAGGGGCAGGTAACGGCTGAGCAAATCACTTTACATTTGAAAAGAGAGAAGGGCAGCACGCTGTCTCCATTGCTAGCTTGGTTCTCTCCCAGATCGGTGGCAGAGTCTGCTCAGTGACCTCCAGCAGAAAGCCCAGCAGGGAGCTAGCTGTGCAGGATTAGAACAAAGCTTGGTCTAAGGAGCTAAAACAGAGATCCGCGCGCTGCGGTCAGGGCATCCGGGTTCTCACTGGGCTCAGTCACATTAAACAGCCCACACTGCAGTTTTCCATAAGATCTGTTATATTTTAACCATGTTTTTGGTTAATTTGGGCCTTTGTTATTGTCCAGTTGAGCTGGTAATGAGTTCACACACTGAAGCAACAAACAACGGTTTTTATGAAGAAGCCTCTGGAAGCCGCCATGTAAATGTTTACCTTACAAATCAAAACATCCCAGAAAAGGGAAGCAGGAAAAAGTACCCTGATGAGCACCCAAAGCATGCGGCAGGCTGACTGATGTTTGTTTTGAACAACGCTCACAGCCCCAGCCTTGACACTGGGGAAATTGGGAACCTGGATCCAGACTTCCCATGCCCAGTATTGTCCTGTGTTTCCCGGAATCTGCCTTGAAGAGCCATTTCCCCTTGTGCCGTCAGGAGTGAAACTTCGGTTCTGCTCTCCTGATGACTAACACACAACCTGTGTGGCTCAGATCTTCCAGAAAGAAACTGACAGCTGGCGTGGGAAGTGTGTGAGACTTCAGCGCTCTTGAAACGCCTTTGATGGGCATGGTGAGCGGACACAGGGGTCATCGCCGCCCCGGCCCGGCCCCTGGTTGTGTCATTTGGTTACGAATTCTGATTCCTTCCTTTGAATGCTGCATGATTTTAAAGGAAGATCTCTGTTTCCTTTGGAAGCTTCACATTGCCGTGCTGTGTGAATTATTCTATGGAGATCGATGTTTTATAATCAGATTCTATCACTTTGAGCGCACGTTGATTGAAAACTAAACAGAACCCACCGAGCTGACGGACGCACGTGTGCTTGTGTTAGGGAGACTGAGTCTTTCCCATCTGCTCTTCGCGGAGTCACATCCAGGCTGCGCTCTCACCACGGAGGAGGAGGGGTTTGACGTGACAGGTGAGTCCGGAAGGGAGCGGGCAGGGCCTCCTATCCTCTCCCTTCTTCCTGGGTCCAGGCTTAGCTCCTGCAGGGTGGGAAGGGGCGGCCCAGCTGCCTGTCCCTGAGTGGCCACGCCGGCTTCACCCTGAAGTCCAGCACCGGGCAGCTCGTGGACTGACCTGCTCAGCCCGAGAAGCGGCGTCCTCTAGTACCAGCTTTATCGATAATAAAGGTTATTTTCAGCTCTCCTATAGCTGCCCGCTGGCTTCTGGTTCTAGTCAAGGCTGGCAGAGCAGGAAGGCTTTCCTTCTTTTCCTGCTATTTTTAGGCTTTCTCTAAGACCCCAGCCTATTTACCAGCAGATTCCTGGTGAGTAGAACACACTGCAGAGACACGAGATCTGGCTTCCAGACCCACGCGGTTACTTTCCGGCGGAGCGCCAGGCTCCTTGGCCGGCAGGTGAGTGGAGGGAAGTCTCCAGGTGTTCCTCCCGGCTGAAACGCATCCGCTCCAGAGTCCCTCATCGACGGCCAGGGGATACAGTGGTGCTGCCGCCACCGAGACAGGATCTCTGCGGTGAAGTCTGTGCTCTAACGCGAGTGTACCAATTAGAAGGTTTAACGTTTTCAAGTGAAATAAAACAATTTCAAACACTCTGAAACACTGGCGGGAATTCGCTGTCTCTGTGGAAATCCAGACACGATTTGATCCAGAATTCAATTAGCACGGACCCGTTTCTTGGCTCTGCCGTCTCTGGGTTGGATTCATTCTTCAGCCACCACACGAGGCAACTCCTTCTCTCTGCTGCCAGCTGCAAGCTTTCCACTTGGGCTGCAGCAGATCTGAGACATCATTTACCAGCCTGAGAAGGTTCCAAGGCCCAGGAGGCCCTTCAGACCCCCAAGGTTGACTTTACTCAGACCATCCTAGGGCCCGGGCTGTCTCCTGTCCTGGGTTTAGTGTGGCAGGGTACAGATGGGCTTCCGTGTCCTCTGGATATGGGAGAAGGGCCCTTCCCCTTGGCTCGGATTTGGGCACTTATCAGGAAGGGAAAAAGGGCCACAACCAATAACTGTCTGTTTCAGGAAAAAAAAAAAAAAAAAAAAAAAAAAAAAAAAAAAAAAAAAAAAAAAAAAAAAAAACAATAAATAAAGTTATTTTTCTGCTCTGAGGGGAAAAAGTCAGCCTGCAGAAAATGGAGACAGCCCATTCATATCTGGCGAGTTGAGCACAAGCCTGGAGTCAGATATTTGTGGTCCAAATTCTGTGCAGGTCTTACACAGAGCAAATACTTTTGGATGTTGTAGGGGTTAACACCTTCCCCTCCTCCATCTCCATCTCCTCCTCTTCCCCTTCCTCCTCCCCCTCCCCCTCCCCCTCCTCTTCCATCCTACAGTACTGGGGATTGAACTCAGGGCCTTTGCACTGAGCTATATCTCCAGTCCTTTTAAATTTATTATTATCATTTTATTATTATTATTACTTGTTTTTTTGAGACAAGGTCTCACTATGTAGTTCAGGCTGGCCTTTAACTAACTCACTGTGTAGTCCAGGATGGCCTTGAACTCACAGCAATCCTCCTGCCTCAGCCTTCCAAGTGCAGGGATTACAGATCGGCACTACCAAACCGAGCTATTTTTTAATTTTTTATTTTGAGGCAGAGTCTTGCTAAATTGTGATCCAACTTGTGACCCTCCTGCCTCAGTCTCCCAGAGTGTTGAGATACAGGTATGCACATAATGCTCTACATTTTGCCTCTTAATCTAGTCCCCTGGTAATGGCCCTTAGGTTGGATTCTCTGGCTCTGTCATCACTTTTCTCTTCTGGAAATGAAGATAATATATGCCTACCTACAATTATATATTATCATAGTAAGATTTTATGTATGAGTGTATATATATACACATACATATACACGTATATATGGAAGGACATAAAAATGATAACTAAGGTCATCTCCACAAAGCAAAAAGACATGAGTCACTTAAGCTATTTATTTATTAGTGTATGCTCATTGTGTTTTCAGATTTGAGGATATTCAGCTGAAGCGAGGCTTGTAATCCAACCACTCTGGGAGGCAGAGGCAGGAGGATTACAACTTAATGCCTTATGAGACCCTGTCTCGAGATAAATGAAAGGATAGAAATATGGCTCAGGGCAAAGGTCCCGGGTTCAGTTCCCAATACAGGATGAGGGGGGCATTCAGAGATACACTTTAGGGGCTAAAGATTAGCTGTACCAGGGCAGAGCGGTGCTACCTGAGCTAGGAGCCTTCATTGTTTTAAATTTGGAAGATCTGTGACGTGAGATATAACCCAGATGCTGGTCACACGACCGCACGCTGATAATCCTAGCATTTGGGAGGCTGAAGCAGGAGGATTGGGAGTTTGAAGCCAGCCTAGGCTACAGAGCCAGACCCTGTCTCAAAACAAAAACAAAAAAAGATACAACCCAAATGGATTGAAAACAGACTAAAATGCAATTGAATTTCATTAGTACTTTCACTAGTGCCACAGCCAGTTCTCAGAATGATTGATACTTGCTAAGCAGCTTGAAAAGGCCAATGTGCCCGAACCTGCCTTGTTTCTCTATTCAACAAATATTCCTGGGTTTGCCTGGTGCAGTAGCGAATGCCTATAACCTTCACACTCAGGAGGCTGGGGCAAGAGCATCGCTGTGAGTTTGAGGCCAGCCTGAACTATGGGGTGAGAAAATGTTTCAAAAGACAAAACAAAGGCCAGGATTTGGCTCAGTGGTTGCTGCCTGCCTCGCAAGCTCAAGGTCCCGAGTTTGATCCCCGGTGCCAAAATGAAAACAAAAGAACCTATAAACAATAAACAGTTTTGGATACCGTCTAAGAAGCCACAGCAGGAACACATACTCAATTTATGTGGCAGGCCCTTAAATCCCTTTGAAAATAAAGAAGACACGTTTCTTTATAATTAGATAAATTACGAGAAACCATAGGCAAAGCTAAATGAAGGAAAGATCTACTATTATGTCACAGTCATAAAATGCAAAATTACTTTCATTTTGGGGGAAGGAAGTTGGAGAAAGAGTAGGCCATGCCTGGGACTGAGTTAACAGACCTTGCCTGAAGGGAGAACAAATATGTAGGGCTAAGTCAGGGAGTACAATCAATTATACACTTTCTTTCTTTCTTTCAGTATTGGAGATTGAACTCAGAACCTTCACACTGAGCTACATCCCCAGGTCTTTTATATTTTTTATTTTGAGACAAGGTCTCCCTAAGCCGCCACATTGCTTAGCCTTGGTTTGAACTTGTGATCCTCCTGCCTCAGCCTCCCAGAGTACAGAGATCACAGGGGTGCACCCCCACACCCAGATTTTTAGTCTTTTAAATAAATATGACTCAGTTCTTGGGACACTAGAGCAGCAGTGTTTTGCACCTTACTACTCTTTTTCTGACCTACATCACAGTCAATTATGTATTCATTCCATTATTCACTCACTGGACTCATTGATTATTTACTCATTGATGGAAAGAAAGCCTGAGATGTGTCAGGTACAGTGCCAAGGGCCAGGTACAAAGCAGGGAGACTTGGGCTCTGCAGCCCCAGTTTGCGGAGCACTCAGACAGCCCAGGAAGAAGGGCCCGCTCTGTGCTGAGGGAGCAGAAAGCGCCTGCGCAGGTGCGCGCCGCCGGAAGAGGAGGCTGGAAAGGCCACTCTATGGCCTTTGGACATCACTTTACAGATAAAAGGGATTTAACTAAAGGAGCGACAGTATTAAATCTGGGCTTTAGAAAGACGTTCTGGAAGCAACCTGAGGGAGTTGTAGTGGGGAGGAGAAGAAATCAACAGGGAAGCTATTTTGATAACTACTTATTTTGATAATGATAAAGTCTTGATGAATGAAGGACAGGGAACAGGACCAGGCACAGTGGTGGGCTGGGGAGGCTGACTCAGGAGGATCTCTGCAAGTTCAAGGACAGCTGGGACTATATAGCGAGTTGAAGGCCAGCCTGCACTACATAGTGAGAACCTGTCTCAAAAAAGAACGGGGAAACAAACAACCCCAAGGAACAAAATGAGTACAAAGAAGAATTGAGAGATTGAAACAACAAAACTTCGTAACGGTGGCCAGGCGTGGTGGTGCACACCTGTACTCACAGCGCTCCAGCGGCTGAGGCAGGAGAATGGCCACCAGTTTGAGGCCAGCCTAGGCTATATAGCGAGTTCAAGGCCAGCCCGAACTACAAAGCAAGACCCTGTCTCAAAACTACTTCCAGTCCTTCGTGCATTTCTTGTATTTGGTCCCCAGCAACAGATACGTGGTTAATCCTATACAGTGAAGAAGCTGTGGATAAGACTTTATCAGTTGCAGTTTGTTGGAGCACAGAGATTGGTGTCGATCTGTCTGACATTTAGAAAAGTCATTCAGAGGGCAATGTCATGTTGTTTTAGGAACTAAGCAATGTCTTCAAAAGTCATACAGTGTTACTGTCCTCTTGCATTTCCTCTGTTTTGTTTTGACACAGGGTTTCACTATGTAGCCCAGGCTGGCCTCGAATCGGTGGCGATCCTCCTGCCTCAGCCTCCTGCGTACTGGGATAAGAGGTGTGCACCACTACACCTGGGGTCATTCTTTCAAAATTGTTTGAGCGGCTCGAGTGGATTGGACTCTGTAGTAGGACAAAAAAAACAAAAAAAACAAAAAAAAACCTTTCCATTCCTCAAAAAGCCCATAGTCCGGGGGGAACAGAAACAAGGGAATACAGCTGAAACACTGTTGAAGAGGTGAGCACCTGTGCAGCAGAAGACACAGGATACCCAGGCAGCAGCAGGAAATGAGGGCAGGGCATGGTTCAAGAAGTCTTCCCAGCCCAGACAGTGTCTACCAGTGATACAAGGAGGTGATGAGGTTCCAGGTCAAGGGGGGACCAACGGAAAAGGCAGAAAGAACAGAATTCCTCAGGCATGGTAGCACATGCCTGTAATACCTACTGGCTGCTCAAGAGGCTGAGGCAGGAGGATTGCAGCCTTGGAAGAACATATCTCAAAATAAATTTATACAGGGCTGGAAATATAGCTCAGTATTCTCTGGATTCAATCCTCAGTACTGGGGAGAACCAGGGAGTACATATGGATTTTAATGTGGCTGGACATAGGGTACAAGGAGGGGAAGGGCAAGAGATCATGAGATGGCTGGGAGAGGTGGGCTGGGGTCTTATCTACAGAGAAATCTGCACTCTTGCTACTTAAAATGGGGTCCCTGGATACGTAGAACCAGGATCACCTGGGAACTGGTTAGGCAAAGAGAAATGTCAAGCCCCACCCCAAACCTACTGACTCAGAATCTGTGTTTTTAATTAACGAGACCTGCCTGATTCCCGTGCACATTCAAGTTTGAAAAACCCTGATCTACAAGATAGAAAACTGCTTAGTTGGTCACCCTTCTGTCACTGTGTTGCAATCTGGTTTTGCATGACTGAGTGATGCATTCTTAGTCTGTCAGCCTCTGATTATGAGGTCATCATTGCAAAAAGGTAACTCAGTCAGGGGTTAAACCATTTCCACTCTACTCAACTTTTTTTTTCTTTTTTCCGATACCAAGAATTGAACCCAGGGCTTCAGACCGTGCTACATCCCAGCTCTTTCTTAATCTTTTATTTTGAGACAGGGTCTTGCTAAGCCACTAAGTTGCCCAGGCTGAGCTCCAATTTGTAGTCTTCCTGCCTCAGCCTCCCAGAATGCTGGGATTACAGGTATATGCCACCACACCCAGCCTTCTCTGAGGAGATTTCTTAGAAATATT